GATATAATTTTATCAATTTTCTTGATCATTCAGAGAACTTTTTGTTTTCCAGTAACACTAAACAAAAGTGCTCAAATATTATTTCCAAATATTTGGCACTTTCCTACATAATTTTGTTACTGATTTCTAAGTTTAAATCAGCTGTGGGCAGAGAATATTTTATATGATTTCAGTTATTTTCAGATTTGTCTTCTGGTCAGAAAATGATCTTGTCAGTATTCCATGAAAAGATGTGAGCACGTTGTTAACATACTAATCAGTATCTAGAAAGGACAGTGTGATTGTTTAGTATGCACAATAGTCTATTCCTTTTCATGGTCTCTGAATGCAATCCATTTTAACTCCCCACAGCTTCCTATTATGGCTATACCAGAAATAAGTTCTTAGTGACCTCATATCTGTTAGCTGTCATTTCTGGCTTACCACGTGCTTTTCCTTCTTGTTTCCTTTTCAGTGTATCCAAGTACTTTGGAGAATACTTGCATAGTTTGTATGCTTTTAGTATCCTTATGTTTACAAAAACATCTGTTTTTAAAAAGGCTCAGAGAGAGTGAGTGAGCATGAGCAGGGGGAGGGCAAAGAGAGAGAGGGAGAGGAGAATCCCAAGCAGGTTCCACACAAAGATACACACAGAGATACATACGAGCCCCAAGATACAGGGCTGACTCACAAACCATGAGATCATGACCTGAGGAAAATCAACAGTCAGAAGCTTAACCGACCTAGCCACCAGGTGCCCAAGAAGACACCTTTTTTAAAATTTATCCTTGATTGAAAATCTGGCAAGGCATGGGATTTTAGAGTCAAAACGTTTTTCATTAGATCTTTGTGGGTGTTCCTTCTTTGTCTTGCAGCATTTGGCTCCGCATATGAAAAGTCACATGTCCATTTTATTATCTTAGGTATTCTCTTAATTGCCGAAGTGATATTGCTATAAGAAAACAGTACTTGTAAGTATTTCATCCCAGGTGTTGCCTTGTAAAGCAAAACAAAACAAAAACAAAAACCCTTTTGTATTATAAGGGAATACAATGTGTATAACACCATTTTGTGTTTCTCTTTCTGGCTGCTTTGTTCCCACACTTAGAGCCAGTGTCTTCCTCTGCTTTATGTGGTCAGTTCATTTCACCAGTTCTTGTCTTCAACTGAATGCTCTTTAAAAAGGGGGTGAGGACAAGGAATCCTAGAAGCTTGACTCTGATCAGTTTCCCTGCCAAATCCATTGTTCTGTCCTTATCAAACTCCAGGCCTTTGTTTTCCCGAGCTGTCAGGATGTGCATCCAAAAGCTGGTTTCTCTGAAGAATTTTAAGTCTTCCCAAAATTTCTCCAATCATCGTGCTTAATGATTACAGCTTTCACTCCCTTGCTGTGCTCTTACCCAATTACTCTACCTTGGATGTTTACATTTGGCTTCACAGTAGAACTGCCCATTTGTTGTGAACCTGTCTGTCTTTGGTTCCTGAGCACTCTCCTCCTGGCCTGCTCTTCTATTTAGAGAAGTTCCGTCAGGCTTCGGTCTTGGCCTAGTTTCTCCTACCATCATCTCGAAAATTCCTATTTCCACAGATTTATTTTTCTTTTTTCTTTGGACTCTTCCAGAACCCTGCTAAATATATATGACAATATTATTTGTGGAAATTCACTTACATATGTATCTGCCAAAATGGACAGTTCCAGCTGTATGTTCAACAGTCACTTCACAGTGTGAACAAAATTCAACTCATTGCCTCTTTCTGCCCAACTGATTCTTTTTCTCATTTTCTCAATTTCTTTTATAGAATAATGTTAGCTGGCAAAATACAAACATCTCCACACACCACAACCTGCTGTATAGCTAGGAGGCAGGACACTTCAGTTTATGTATAAGTTGGGAGATCACTGACAAGAGCAGAAGCAGCTGGGAGCTCCCCCCAGAGCAGGAAGTCAGGAGGGGGTTGATGGAAGACAAAGGATGGTGAGGTCACAGTTGTAAAGGAACAGAAGATCAAGTGGACTCTGCCACAAGCAGAGGCGCTCACCCTGATTGGGGAAAGATGGGGGAAAGTCTGGAATCGTGGGGTCCAAGTACTGGCACCGGGATTAAAAAAGAAGGGACTCAGAATGTGTGCGGGAACATCAGCAACTCAGAGGAAAAGAAATAGAATTCCTGTGTGCCCGTACTGAAAGCACGTAAGAAAACAAGCAGCTGAAATCAGGTGCCCTAAAAAAGAAAAAAAACAAAAAACACTACACAGAATCTAAAGATACCTCCCCCAGTAGTGCTTTCTTCAAGAATGTGAACATATGGGGCTCCTGGGTGGTTCAGTCGGTTAGGTGGCCGACTTCAGCTCAGGTCATGATCTCGCGGTCCGTGAGTTCAAGCCCCGCGTCGGGCTCTGTGCTTACAGCTCAGAGCCTAGACCCTGTTTCAGATTCTGTGTCTCCCTCTCGCTGACCCTCGCCCGTTCACGCTCTGTCTCTGTCTCAAAAATAAATAAACGTTAAAAAAAAGAAAAAAAACATTAAAAAAAAATGTGAACATACTATGCCAATAGAGACATTTTTGAACCAAGTAACACTTTCACCCCTCCCCAACATAAAATAAGCTTTTATCTTCATTTGATCATGAACCAAAAATATTACTCAACATGTATACAATGCTAATACAAGAAAAATTGGAATGTGTGAACTGACATTTTTTCAGCTGACGTCAATACTCGTCCCCCAAACACACACAAAGTAGAGGAGAGTACAGCCTTCCAATATTACATGTTTCAGACAGGAAAGAACCTGAACCCCAGAGATTAAAGCCTCAGAACAGAAATGGAAAAACAAGTAGATATAAAATGTAAGCAAATTAACTCAGGAAAGAAATGGTAGAACAGCACATCATCTCAGAATAGAAGATTAAATTTCAGGGCACCTTGGGGAGAAGATGAATGAACGCCTGATAAATGATACACAGGAGAAATGGAAAAGAGACCCCAGGGAGTGGGAAGAATTAACTGGAAGAGGAAGACAGGGTAACAGAAGTAGAAGCTGAAGTAGGATCCGTCAGTAACAAAATCTAAAACTGATATTTAATCAGAGGAAACTTTCCATAAAGAAAAGGAAAACTGAATTACATACTGAAAAGACTCTCTGTGCCAGAGAGAACTGGCCCAGAATGGTAAACACCAAGAGAGAGTCTAGTAAAACTATTAGACCTAAAAGCAGAGGGAAAAAAAGAGTCCTCTAGGCCACAAAGAACAAAGTCTAAATAAAATTGACAGAACTCTTTTCTTTTTGAATGGACATAATTCTCATTAGCAACTTATATGTAAAAGAATAGGATGGTGTTTTCAGGAAAGAAATGTGAAGCAAGAATTTATATCCAATGACGACGTTCCTCAAATTTTCACATTTCAGGTTTTATGAAATATAAGCAACGATTGGAAGAAATTTCATAGCCCTAAATAGTCCTGTCAATAAAAATGAGAGAATGAAAATAATTGGCATTATAGTTCTAGCCATTATCAAACTATAGAGGTACTATGGGAAGTAACTTCCCCTTCTCTCAATAATTAATTTCCAAGGAAGTTATTTTTTACCCACTGCTGCTACTTTATTTTTTTTTTTTTCATGTTTATTTTTGAAAGAGAAAGAGTGTGAGCAGGGGAGGGGCAGAGAAGAGAGGGAGACATAGAATCTGAAGCAGGCTCAGGCTCTGAGCTGACAGCACAGAGCCGGATGCAGGGCTTGAACCCACCAGCTGTGAGATCATGACCTGAGCCGAAGTCCGATGCTTCACCGACAGCCACCCAGGTGTCCCCACTGCTGCTACTTTAAATGTTTATTGCTCATGTATGCCTCTTAATTTTGTAACACTCCATATTTCTGATGTGCTCTTGCCTCTTCTTTAGTGTTTTTTTAACTTCAAAAAAGCACGAGTGGAGGAGGGGCAGAGAGAGAGAGAGATGGAGAGAGAGAATCCCAAGCAGGCCTATGCGGGGCAGGGCTCGATCTCACAAACCAGATGATGACCTGAGCCGAAATCTACAGTTGGCCACTTAACCGACTGAGGCACCTGGGTGCCCCTTTAGTGTTTTCTTCCAAGCACCGGTCTGCTCCTGTAGCTCTGCTTACTACCCACATGTACCACTTCAGTAGCTCCGTTATCTATACTCGCATCTACAAAGTGAAGGGATGAACACCCCAAAAACATGTAAGACAGTCCACATAGTATAAAATACTAGAATTCGTTTTTTAATTATAAATAGAAATAAAACTTGCCAATTTTTAATAAACGGATTATTACAAATATAAATTAATAAGCAGGTACCAATTCAGTGGGTATGCAAAATGCATTTTAATGGTCCAGAGACACATTCAGAATTATTCCATATTCTGTCACCGGACCGGACTGTATTACCTTCTAACTAATCTTTGTCCAACACCCTATTCTCGTATCAGACCGTCTTCTTTGTAATTTTCCTCAACTTGCCATTTTTCATGCGTCCATCCATGTCTTTGTCAGTTCTGTCTTCTTTGCTCCCAAAGTTTCCATTAGTCAGCTTAACCTAGAAAATCTAACTTGATAACACAAAATTCAAGTAACCAGTCCCTCTTGTGACCATTTTATATCGCGTACATGTTTCTGTCAGAGCACCTGCCGTGTGTATTGCATTTGAGTATTTACGTCGCTGCCTCCTTGTCAGACTGTGTGCTCCTTCACAGCAGGAACAGTTGCTTTCATTCATCTGTGTATCTCCTGGCAGGATTCCAGGCATGGAGCGGTAGCTCAGCAAATAGAGTGAGCAGATATTTTATCTATGTACAGAGTAGCCATGTATCCAGCTTTCTAGAGTAAACCTGATGGCACATTAAGAGCTAGTTCACAAGTGGTTTTTTCATGGTACTCCACTCTGAATACTTCAGTTTCAAGCAAAATATGTTGTTACAGGGACCTGTAACATTCAAGGATGTTATTGTGGAATTCACCCGGGAGGAGTGGCAGTTACTGGACGCTGCTCAGAGGACCCTGTACAAGGAAGTGATGCGGGAGAACTACGGTCACCTAGTCTCAGTGGGTGAGGAAAACTTCCCCGTGTGGAACTGCCAGTAGTTCGCATTTCCTTTCCCAGTTGCTGCAACACGTAAGGTCCCTGTAGGGCTGCGCCATATTGGCTCTGTTTCAGGGGTCAAATGTGATGAGGCCATTTCGGGCACCGGAAAGAATGCGTGTCCCCACCCTCGCCGGTGAAAGAATCTAAATTTGCCGAGCCAAAGTAGGACTTCAGTGTTCTCAAACTGTACTTCCTTATCCTTCACAGGCCCTAAATCCCAAGTAAACCGTGTTTTCTTCTCCATTCATAGGTTACTGTGTGAATAAGCCAAATGCAGTCTTCAAGCTGAAGCAAGGAAAAGAACCGTGGATACTGGAGGTGGAATTTCCACGTCGGAACTACCCAGGTGAGAGAGAAATTAGAACCCTTGTCGCTAGTGAGGTGGTTGGTGCCTTTTGCCTTCTGAAATGTGTTTCAGGAACCTCTTTTTTAAATGCCCTATACATCTGGGAGTGACTGAGGGCACTTGGTCTGCATATGCAAGCAACATAAATCGCACCTCCAGTTTTCATTCTTTCCACATAAATTCGTCCTTTGCCAGACTTTGTAAAATACATTTACTTTTCTTTCCTGTATACAAAACTAATTCCTGCCTAACCTTGTCTTAGATGTTTGTCTTTTTTTCTGGAATTCCCATTATTCCAGTACCTGGGAATTAAGTGGGAATTCTAGAACACTATAATCTTAAAGTATTAAATCTTAACAATTCTTTTTTTTTTTTTTAAGTTTATTATTTGAGAGAGAGACAGAGAATGCGTGTACACGTGAGCAAGGGAGGGGCAGAGAGGAGGAGAGAGAAATCTAAGCAGGCCCCGCGCTGTCAGCACAGAGCCCAATGTGGGGCTCAATCTCACAAACTGTGATTATCATGACCTGAGCTGAAATTAAGAGTTCGATGCTTAACCAACGGAACCATCCAGGCACCCCTAAAGTGTTAGATCTTAAATCTGACCATAAATTTTTCTTCGAATGCCATTTCCCTCCTTTCATTAACAATGAAATGTGCCTCAGTTATTTTCAGCACCAGTTTATTAACTTCCTGTTCTCTCTTTAAACTCTGAAATTAGGTTACAAGTCATTATGCCTTTCATCAGTTATATTATTTCAGAGTTGATACTTCCTTTTAGATGGTGTTTGTCTTTCACACAGGTACTGATTATCCCTCCTAAAATCTGCACCTTATTTGGAGTGTTATAACACTAAGATAAAAAAAACAAAAACAGAAAACCCACGAAGATGATCTCACTCTGCTCCTTAAATGCTTTTCCTGTACTTGTGAGCTTCTGCGTTGCCAGGACTAGGAACAATGCCTGGTATTTCTTAGTTGTTCACTAGGATGTTTGTGGAAATATTCAATCTGAACTCACAAGAGACAGACCCTTTCTTCTGCTCTGTGCCTTTCACAGTCACTCCTGCAAGGGCTTATCCTTTCTTAAGACCAAAGACACACAGGCTCTTGTTTCCTGTGCATCTCACTTAGCCTTGCACATGTCCCCGTCACGTTAACTTCTTACATCTTCCCTGCAAAGGCCATGAAATTCCTACCCCAAGCCCCTGCTCTTTATCTTTCGCTTCCTTTCAGGCCTTTAAAGAGGAGTAAATCTAAAGGTCAGTAAAGGTTCCAGGATCATGTTCAATAATTCATCCTTAAAGATCATGTAGTAAATTGAAGCAGAAATGTCGAAACTAAGACAGGAAAGCAGTGGAAGACTGGCATTGGGTCGTGGTAACGCTACTTTGGAGATGCAGTATTTTTTGGTGGTCAGGCTTGAAAACGTCTGTGCTACAAATGGAAACTCATCCTGTTGTACGATGGCTTGCACACTGCTGTTTAATCATCTTTCCTTTGGGATGTATGTGTTCCTGGGTCTTCTGTCCCGGTGAAAATTACGCCAGTGAGACGGAGAGAGCCCGGAGTGTGGAACTGTTCCTCCACACACGTTGTGATGTAGTCACTGTAGGGACTAGACTAGGCATCTAGACTGTCGTGTGTGGGTACAGAGGAAATAAAGTAGAAGTTTATAGTCACTGATGAACAGTAAATTACATTCTGGCTGACAAAGGCTTAGCTTTGCATCCAATTTCATCTTTCCCCAATATTTCCAGTGGACACAGTCGTCTACTAACTTTTCTTTTCACCCTACCTACTGTTCATTGTCTGTAATGGGCTTACCGCATTCTGAGTCCCAGATTCTTGTGCAGCACTCTGAATGTCTTTTGTTCTCTGCTCCCCATTCTTTTTCTTTTTCCTTAACTTTTTCTCCAGGTTTTTAAAATGTTTGTAAAGTGTCAGAGTACTTGGGTTTATAATGACATTTCTTCCCTTGTCTGCTCCAACCGTCTTTAGTGTTTATATTTTTTCTAAACCAAAGGCATAGAGGAAATTTGCATATAAGAATTCCTTTATTTGGGGAGATTGCCCTGAAGCCTAAGAATCAGCCCTACAACCATAATAATATGTTAAGATTTAAATGGTATTAAATTTTGAATTCCTTTGTAGAAGACCTTTGGAAGATTCATGACTTAGGAGCAAGATCCCAGGGAAGCCAAGCTGAAAATTCAAGGCAAGTTCAAGATTGTGATTTTAAGATGAAAAGACTTGTAAAAAAAAAAGTGTTGATGGGAGTACTGGAAGTGGGAAGGCACTAACTAGTTCATACTAAACGTGAGAAAACTAAAACACTGGAGTGAATTCCAAAGAATTCACTTTCCAAATGGGAAAGCCCTCTTCCCCAGTGGAGATCTTCTGTAGGACCAGGAGATTCAAACTTTGAAGCAGTCTTTCATTTCTTCAATTGCACAGGAAGGGAGGCTTTGTTAACCAAAGCAGATCTCAGGCAATTAAGAGACTGCATACAATGCAAAGGAAGGTTCCTGCTACTTAATGTTAAACCACAGTGTGTGTCAGAACATTCAGAGTAGAGAAACCATGAATCGAATCAGTATGGGAACATCTCTAGAAATGGGTTCTCAGCTAGAGTACCTTATGCATTACTGACTTTGGGAATTTCTCTCTAGGAATGGAGAACTCACAAAACACCAGCAAACTCCTGCCAGAGAGAAAATCTATAAATGTAGTGAATGTGGAAAGTCCTTCTGCCAGAAGTCTATCCTCCTAATACATCAGCACACTCACTCAAAGGACAAACCCAGGGAATGTGGGACATCGGTCCCTAGGAATGGAGACCTCACAAGACAACAGAAAGGTCAAGCCAGAGAGAAAACCTATGAATGTAAAGAATGTACGAAAACCTTCTACCACCTGTCCTCTCTTAGTAGACACTTGAGAACTCATGCGGGGGAGAAACCCTACGAATGCAATCAGTGTGAGAAATCCTTCTACCAGAAGCCACACCTTGTGGAACATCAGAAAACACACACAGGAGAGAAACCCTATGAGTGTAACGAGTGTGGGAAGTTCTTCTATGTCAAGGCATACCTCATGGTACATCGGAAAACACACACGGGGGAGAAGCCGTATGAATGTAAGGAATGTAGGAAATCCTTTTCCCAGAAATCACACCTCACGGTACATCAGAGGACACACACAGGGGAGAAGCCCTACAAATGTAAGGAATGTGGGAAATTCTTTTCTAGAAATTCACACCTCAAAACTCATCAGAGAACTCACACAGGAGAGAAACCCTATGAATGTAAGGAGTGTGGGAAGTGTTTCTACCAGAAGTCAGCCCTCACAGTGCACCAGCGAACTCACACAGGGGAGAAGCCCTTTGAATGTAATAAATGTGGAAAAAACTTTTACTATAAATCAGACCTCACTAAACACCAGAGAAAACACACAGGGGAGAAGCCTTATGAATGTCAAGAATGCGGTAAATCCTTCTCTGTGAATTCAGTCCTCAGATTACATCAAAGGACTCACACAGGAGAGAAACCCTATGAATGTAAGGAGTGTGGGAAATCCTTCTCTCAGAAGTCACATTTTATCATACATCAGAGAAAACACACAGGGGAGAAACCCTATGAATGTCAGGAGTGTAGGAAAACTTTTATCCAGAAATCAAAACTCACTGCCCATCAGAAGACACACACAGAGGAAAAAAGCTTATAAACAGCATGAATTGGGAACTTTTTTCTGAGTTCATCCTTCAGAATAATCAGATAATTCACACAAGACCAAAAAACTTAGGAATATCATCTATATGGGAACGTTTTAGTCATAAGAGTGTTTCTTGACAGCAAATACACAAAAATTCTTTGAATCTAGAAGGAAGAAATTTTTACCATATGTTAGACTTTAGTGTCAGACACTCTACAAATTGTAAAGCGTGAGAGAGACCATTCTTTTAGAAGTCACAGTATACTGTACAACACAGAAATCACATGAGAGAAGAACAAATAAAAAAAAAAAGAAGGTCAGGAACTTTCTGGTCAGGGCAGCCATCACTAGATATCCCAAAGCTCACGTGAATGAGAGCCTCCTATCCGTGTCCATCCTGAGCTTCAGAAATACTTTACAGGTGGACTCCAAACGCTCAAAGGGGTGACTAGACGTCAAAACAGATCCAGAAGCCCTTCTTGAGAAGTGACATCTCTGTGACCTTCAGATGAGCGATGCCAGGATAGAACCATCGCAGACATCTCAGATACGTCAGTTTCCTGACAAAAACTCAGTATCTGTATTGGGTGAGAGTGACAGTTACGCCAGAAGTCATGTTGCAGCGACTGGATTGTGAGGGTTGGGTTATTTTTTTCTTTGAAGAAACCTGCAAATGTCTAGATAGATAGATAGATGAAGCTTTTTAAAAAGCACAAACCCATTGAGAAGCCAGGTGACATCCTTAAACTCACGTGAAAAGTCCTTGAGTGGAGCTGACGTGTGTCCGCGTGCTGCTAGGCCGATCACAGATGTCTGTGCGTACACGGATCCCATCCGTAAGTGTACACAGGAAAATCCGTAACCTCAGCTCCGCAGCTCTCACGTGCATGAGGAGATCCCACGTCAACCCTCAGCATCGACTCCTGTTGTTCCAGTGTGTATTTTAAGTGTACTGTTCTTTTAAAATTTAATGCATCTCTACTTCCTGGCATTTTTAAGTGAATTCAGATGTTCCTGAACTGATCCTTCAGAAAGAAGCTAAAAGTCTTTTTGTAAAATTCTCCAGTTGTCTCGTGGTCAGCCAAATTTTGCATTAGGGACACATTTATTCCTAAGAAAAGACTGAGTTTATTTTATTTTATTTTTTTAATTTTTTTTTCAACGTTTTTTATTTATTTTTGGGACAGAGAGAGACAGAGCATGAACGGGGGAGGGGCAGAGAGAGAGGGAGACACAGAATCGGAAACAGGCTCCAGGCTCTGAGCCATCAGCCCAGAGCCCGACGCGGGGCTCGAACTCACGGACTGCGAGATCGTGACCTGGCTGAAGTCGGACGCTTAACCGACTGCGCCACCCAGGCGCCCCAGACTGAGTTTATTTTTAAAAACAGCTGATGAAAACAGTCTGTATGATAAACAGTGCTGTGTGAAGAAGTAGTGTCTGTCCTACTGTTGATGTTTTAGGAGGGTGCAGAGGTATCTGCAGGACGATTTTGGTGAGGAAGGATGTTCTTCACACAACATGGCAGCGGTTAAGAGTGTGGACTCTGGACTCCCACTGCCAAGGCTCAGATCCCATGGGGCATGCCACTTACCCTCTCTCTGTGTGCCTCGGTTTCCTTTTCTATAAGAGAAGTGAGAATGTTAGAATTGCTTGGAGGTATGAATTAATATTTTTAAAGCACTTAGAATAGCGTCTGAGACACGAGAAAAGCGTAAGTTGGCTACGACTATCATTATAATTGTATTTCTTGAATGATGCTGGAAAACAAAAAGGTTGGCTCCCAGCATTCATCACTCACTTTCTTGCTGTAGTGCCTTGCTTTGGCTTCGTTGTGCATTTTCCTACGAATGATTCAGATACTCACGTGTGACCCGCTGCCTGTCTTTGTAGCCTTACAAGCCAACAGTGGTTTTACGTTTCTAAATGGTTGAAAAAAAAAAAAAAAAAGAATATTTTGTGACATGTGCCGATTATATTCAGATTTGTGTCCATAAATAAAGTTTTACTGGAACACTAATAAAGTTATAAAACAGAGACCGCTGTCTCTGTTCTGCCTGAGGCTGCCTTCAGCACTATAAGAACAGAGTTGAGTAGTTCTGACGGGAGACCATATGGCTCACAGAGCCTAAGACAGTTACTGTCTGGCACTTTACAAAGTCAAGTTTTTCTGTTACTTAGGACTGAAGACATCACAATCAATGTATACAGTGTACTTTTATATATGCTACATGTTCCAGGAGTGATGCATACAGCAGTTTGTGGGTGGGTGGTTTTTGTGGTGTATTTATTTTGTACATTGTATTTATATGTTAAAAGCCTAAGCATTAGAATTTTTTTTCAAAGAAATGTGTTTTACTTGTTGAACTGTCATAAAATGCAAACATCTTCTGATGGAATGTAGCACTACATGTATGAAATAAACATTGTCTGAATTAAACAGAATTGTTAATTTGTCCCTACCTAAAATATTCCTTTACTTTATTACAAGTCTATGGCCCGCTTTCCCTGTATCATTTTATAATTTTCTCACTGTCCCATGAGAAAATACCATCTTTATGTCACACTTAACGTAATTTAACAACAACAAACCCTTACAATACCCAACCAATTCCACCAGGTACATTACCAGTAATCTGCATTACTGGTATCACTACATTACTAGTAAAATCATTGAACTGCCTGAACTTCATTCAGTTGTCAAATGCTGCTCCCATCTATATCCTGCCCTCACCTCCCCTTCCTAACGATGACTTCCGTGATGCTCAACTTCTCACGCACGCCTCCTTCTGATTTGTCTAATGTTTACCACTAATGAATTCCTGCTATATTTAGTGACTGCATGATTTATAGAACTTCCGAACACTCAAATACAATATTGTTACCAATATTCTACCCAACACTGACGTAAGTAAGCCATCCTGACTACAGCCATCTTTAGGGTAGTTCTTTATTTCAACCTGCTTTGAAAGCAAATATATTTCTAAATTTCCCCTGGCTTCGCAGCCAAAAAGTAAATAAAAATTAGTATTTTGTGGGGAAAGTCCAGTAACTCTGCCAAACCTGTTATTAAGAATAAAGTCTGGGGGCGCCTGGGTGGCGCAGTCGGTTGAGCGTCCGACTTCAGCCAGGTCACGATCTCGCGGTCCGTGAGTTC